GGTGGAGGTGGTGGCCCACAGCTGGGACTCCCGGCAGACAGGATATACATCCGCTGGGGCCCCAAAAAGCACCGACTGAAGGTCTGACACGCACGCATTAAACTCTATTGGGTGCTAATGTTTTTCATCTCACCCTCGCCGCTTACAAAATTTTCATAAATTCAGCAATGTGCTTGTCGACACACACAGTCACACACACAGAAACACCGGGCCAGCCTGTTCCGTGTATGTGTAATAAAAATACGCTAAAATGTTTGTATCACATACATAAACACGCTGCTTATTGCCTACTTCCAGGCGCAAAGAGCAAAGATACGCGTTCGCTTTTCTGTGTGCGAGTGTATGTGTGTGTGTGTGTGCGGCTGAGTGTGGTCGTGTGGGTTAGTGGGCATCAGGGGCGGGGATATGCTTCCGTTTGGCGATAATGTTGTTGCTGGCTGAAGCCGATGTGCCTGATGCTGGTTTATTAAAGCGCCGGCTTTAAAAGTTATATGACCTCGCCACATAAAATTCCAAAATCGATATTAGAAAACTTAGAATACAATTTTAAAAACAATTTAACAATATTAACATAGATACACCATAATCCATGCTTTTTCACATGCAACAGCTAGTTTTAATAATATCCTTTGACAAAATTTGTATTACTTTTTAATCCATTTGGTAACACAAATTTATTAAAACTTTATTTTCGTTTGGAAAAACTTTGGGTCAACAAACAGCTAGACTTAAAATACACAAAAATGTTTATAGGGGCTGTATCAACATTTTAATATGGCTATTTTTTATGCATATTTTGGTTTTATATAAACAAAATGTAAAAGGAATAAATGTTATGATACGCTATTTACTGGACTGTAATTTTAAAACCCTTTAAAATGTAAATTTATGCTTAAATTGCATGCTATATTTTTAGACCTATTAAGACATCGACATTTTCAATTTACACATATATTAAACATTTAAATTAAATTTGTATAGCATTTATAAACATTGCTAAAAAGAAAATGGTTTTAAGTTCCGTTAAATTTAATGTTAAATGTTGTCTGAAAAAATTGTGTTGGCTTAGGATTAAACTCCTTACCAACTGTCAGCTGTAGCAAGGCACATTTGCCCGCCTGATGTTATTGCAAATTCAAAGAATTTTTAGTGACTTCGTCTTGGGGAGCCCAGTCAGTGGAGCTTTCCAGAGGAGACAGAGGAGATCTTCCCGCCCATTTCGCCACATCCCGAATCCATTTGGTATATATGCTTATGCGCGAGCTTATCGGCGCTTCAAGTAAACAGACAGGCAGCTATAAAAATTTGCATTTGACTAATGCCAAATATTCGAAGACGACAACGACAACGAGGGCTACGAACGCTATCCGATAAGCTAAAGCATCTTCAGCATTAACCTCCCCTTCCCCCTTCCCCTTTCCCCTTCCCTCTGGCAAATCCCTACTCCCCCCTTCAGTCCGTGAGTCAACCCTTACAAACGGCAACAACAATAACAATGTCTTGGAGGAGATGCCAATGCGTTTACTGATTTTTTGAGTGCGATACGTGCAAAGATTTTCTTTTCTCCGCCTTTTTTCCTTGGGGTTAAAGTGGGCGCTGGGTGGCGGTATGCTTTTATGCTATTTCCTATTAAGCTATTTGTTGCTGGCTCTCTTTTATCGCTCTTTACTCTCTTCGGCTCTATCTCTTTTCATACCCCACTTCTCCGCATTGTGAGTTTGCCAAATTTCGTATATGGCAGTTGCATTGCAAAAGATACTAAAAGCTTACCCCCACACACACACACACACACACACACACACACACATAGATACTCACGCTCACATGTCTCGTTTATCGATTTTCTTCACCCCCTATTCGCTGCACCCTCTGTGGATTTTTGACATGCCAACGCATTTTAAATTTGCATTTTTTGGCACCCAAGCTGGCCAAAAATTTTTAGCTAAAAGCATTAAGGCCATGGTTGGGCAGGGACGTTAAACTCCAGTTGAACAACTGAAATTGCCAAAATATGCCAACAATAGGTTCAGTGTTCGTTGGCAAAATATTGAAAAATATTGCAAGGAAAATATTTAGAAAAATGTCTAAAAATAATTCTAAAATATTTCTCAAAATTTATGGACGTGTTACTGAAGAGAGGGTGAAAATAGGAATATTCATGAGCTAAAGTTGGTTTAGTTTTTAGAATGAATTGTTGGTAAAAAAAAGTGAAATGTATGTAAATGGTATGCTGAATAACTTTAAAGATGTAAGGATTTGTAAGCATGCAGCATGTTTTAGCATTTACCTTCTTTCTTTCTAGTCACGAATAAAAACGGTTTACTTATCTCACTTTTAAGTTTCATCAAGCATCCTTTCACGTGTACATATACTTCATACAATAAAATTTAAATTTTATTATAAAATTCCCCTAATCCCTAATCTCTGATATAAACAAACATGTGTAAGCCGTTTGCATAAGACGTGATTGTTTGACTTTTGTTCAAATTTAAAAGTTTTCCATCTTGTGCAGACTTTGACCCACGCAACCCACACAAACTCACAGCTTACTGGGGTTCTTGATTTATAAAATTTATGACGAACCATACACACGAATATAAATGCTATAATAAGTCACTGTCACAAGTTATGAGTTCGTATGTGTTCGGGACAACCACAAACCAGTGAGATTTGGAAGGTAACTTTTTGCAAATGCCCGTTGATTTATTAAGCCTGACGTATTGGCACACATTTGCGTAAGATCCTGCTCCTTAAGACCATAAGTCCTATTTGCCACATGCAAATGTTAATTAATATTTTTCACTCTAAAATCACTCCCCGGGCGAACATTCAAATTGTTTTAGATTTTCAAGCGATCTCATTAAGTCCCGACACGCCCACAATTAAAAGCATCCCCAGAAGAAACAAAAGCACAAAAAAACATAACAAAAATTATTATGAGCTCTTATAATAGATTATGTCAAAACGGAACCAAAGTTGCCCGGAGTAAGGAAAATTCGCTGGAATTAATTTGAAAATGTAAAATGCGGAGGGTGGCTGGCAGGCAAAATAGCTGTGAATTTGTTGTGTGTCACGTCCAGTCGACTTTTCCGTTCAGCATGGAAATTTCTTCTTTTTTTTTTTGGAGGCCATTTCTGGCAAATGGCAGCTAAGCGACGCATAATGAGGACTCAGGCCGAAGACTTTGCGACTTTCTGCGGTTGCCCCAAGGCCCCAAAACCAAAGAAGCGGCGAACGTCTTTAAGAGTAAGAGAAAATAGGAAAGTACTATGTACGCACAGCGAACAATTGATTTAAGCTGCTTGGTTGAGGCCCTTCTCCTTTGACTGGGTAATCCTATTTTTCATTAATCTAATTAAGCCTGCGTTAAGAGAGAACATTTTCGGTAGACGAGGCCAATCTAATGAAATTATGGCCAAAGACAAAGGCTCGGAATTCAGCTCAGGCATTATCGATTAGCCAAATTGAGGTCAATTAGCCCAGCTGTGGAATTTTTGGCAAGTGAAACTTTCCAAAAATCTCAATTATCTGGCGTTTAATTTAATTCCAGCGCAAGTCGAAGAACACAAAAAAGAAAAACAGTTAAGGATACGTTGAGAAAGGCAGGTTTAACAATAAACCGAAAAACAAATATTCCCTTAGGTAATCTCGCAGCTGAAACCTTGACAGCCAAGAAATATTTAATGCGCGCTGCCATATTTAATAATAAAAACCTTTTACACACTGCGCCAAAAAGGAAAAGAATGCGAAAAGGCCAACGGCAGACGTCCTTTGGGGATTTCTAAGAGGAGCTCTGCGATAAATAAGGCCGAGAGATGAGCTGGGAGTGCAGGGCATTCAAAACTGCACACTAAACGCTCGGGCGCCTGAAAGTATGCTTTCAATTGTGCGCAATTTAGTGCGACAGGACGACAACAATAGGACCTCTTTGCGACCCTATATGTGTGAATGCAATTGTGCCAGTGTTAGTGCCTCACTAGGTGCGAACAAACACGTGCGAAAACGGCGCCTAAAAACAGGCAGCAGAAAAAGGCCAGCGACTCCGGCTCATTGTTTGCCATGCTTTCTGCTCTCTGCTTTCTGCCCTGTGATTACGATTATTATGATTATTGTTTACTAAAGCCAGCTGTGGAGTGTGGTGCAAAGCGAACGGCACAGGAGAAGGCAAATATCATAATAAAAGTTCATAAAATAAACCGGCCTTGGATCCCTGGTTTTCAGGTTTTGCACAGAAAAATTTCCTTTATAGCTTGTAAGTTTTAAATAAATTACCTAATTTCTGTACCATTAAAAATTAAAGCATCAACAAATTTTAAAACATCATTTGAACAGCTTTTTTTATCGCTTGATGTCCACTTTAAAATGCAAAATTTTGCTTTGGGTCTTTTACAATGAAAACCGGACCTCTTTTAATCTAACTCAATAAACCATATTTATATATTTTAATTAAGTTTTTGGTAATTTTCCTAATTTCTCCCTGTGTTGCCGTCTTTTCTTCTGTTCCGTTCAGCCAACAATGCGACATGGCCGTGCTAGTTTTATGTGGCACATAAACATAGCTGCCACTCGCGTTGTTGCACGCTTTTTGGCGCGCAAAAACTTGGCGCTCGCTAGCCATTTTATTGCTTGTCTTGCACACACACACACACACACACATTCGCACACAGCTTTTGTCATTCCATTCCGTTTCGTTTTCGTTTTGTTTTTGCCGCTTTTCGTTTCTTGTGCCAACAACCTGCCACGCCTGAAATATGCTTGCTGCATACTTTTGGGCGCTGGGCATGAAATTAAATGCCGAAAGTATTTCACGATATAAATAATCCACTCAGGATCCCAGGAATCATAAGCGAAACAAACCTGCCAAGTAGGAATTACCTTCAGAAAACATTTTGTAGCGGAAAATTTGTGTTCATGAGTTTTAGTAAATTGTCTTGCAGATGCGGTCTTCTTTTTAAAGTGAAAAATCATGTTACTTAAAAGGATTGGAAAGCACAACTAACCTGTTAAGTAGGTAACACTTTTTCAAGTCTTTTCTTTGTTTTCGTATTCAATTATTTTGATAATTTTTTTTTGAGCTTAACTCTGCTCTTTACACGGAAATTTAGCACTTTTCTGTCTTGTTTATCTTTCGGCCAATAAACCCAGTTCTTTTTTTGTATGAGCTGTGATTACTCTTTTGGCGTTGGCAAATTAATGTTGCGCCTAGTCGGCCGGACACGGACGTTGCTCCGGCGGAAACGGAAACCGGAAATTGCGCGCACAACAAGCGACCCACCGTAACGCTGGCCACACTCACAACACTTCACTTAAGTTCAGAGTTCTGTTGTTTATACTCGCCCAGTGAAACCACAGAAAATCCAGCCGATTGACAATGGCACTCGATGCGTATTTAAAAATGCTCGAAATGCAATTAATTTTGGTTTTTATTTTAAAACACGCACACACTTCACAGCGACGCCATTAATTATGTTTGCCCAGTTGTGCCTCGTGTTTGCTAAAGTGCGTATTCAACATGTCTGCGCCAGTTGTTTTAATGAGTTACTTGGGGGACTACCATTCGCACTTGCTGCATTGATTTTATTTAGTTATTCTGCGGAAAACGAAGGGGAAATCCCGGAGACTTTTACGCACGCCGCCACGCTCCGCTGCGATTTTCCACAAGTATAATTTATATTTTCGCCACGACGCACGTCCGTTTCTGACGACCAAATCTCGCAAACTAACAGCAGTTCGCATCGAGGATATATGGCATGGTAGAACACGTTTAGAGTAGCAGTCTTATCGGATCCGTTAGTACGTTAACATTGCCTAGAATGACTTCGATAAAAGGGTGTTTTCAGCTTCGTGTGTTATACCCGAGTGTTATACGGTTTCCAGCGAGAGAGAGCTGCGCTCACGGAACTTTCACTACCGCACTCTCTCTCTTCCTTTCGGCATTTTTTGTTTGGCGGCATTTGGCAGACTCTCGGAGATGAGATACTGCACAGCAATTGCCGGCAAGCGAGATCCTCCAGAGGAAACTTAACTGCATTTGCTTATAAATTATGTCTTGACTTGGGTGTTAATGTGCACTGAAGCGTTCGGAGTGACGGCATGACAGAGTGGCAATCGGACGGACTGACGGCTTGATGGGCCGAGCCACTCCTGTCCTTGCGCCCTGCGACAAGGACACACCTGTTGGGCCACCTGAGTGCAGGTGAAAGGGTTCTGCGCACGGCGAAGGGCAATGTGGCAACTGCCAAAGTGCAGGGCCAATTTAACGGCATTAATACATTTGTGAAATCAGCTGGAAGTCAGATAGTTAGAGTCGTATGTAACCATAAATCTAACGGGTCAAAGGAGCGAGTTTTTTAAAAACTTCATAAATTTTAGTGGAAGCATGTCGATTGAACAAAAATACAGAAATATTGAATACACATTATGATTAAAAGTATTAAACAAAATACATATAACAAATTAAAAAATCAAAATATTGATTAATAATATTATAAGCTAATTAAAAAATTTAGTAAGCCCCTGTATTCCTTTAACTGAAAACAAAAATTTTATAAAGTATTTCCATTTTAATTTTTTCCCTATTGCTTTATATATTTTGTATACCTTATCAACTCATCTTTCAAAAGAGTCCTAAACCATTCATAGCTGAAATAAATTTCAATTTAAAATATTTATTTAGCACCCGCTCTTCCGGCACTTAATTTCCAAACACTTTAAGAATGCATTACAAAGGAAGCTACCGTAATCAAGTGGCCGCTGGAACCTATTTCCATCTCCCTTTCTCTCCATCTCCCCTTGTTTGTATGTGTGTGTACCAGACTCCACCAGTCAATTAGCTATTTAATTGTTTTTACAGTAAACTCCTCTGGAAAGTGGCGATAAAAGAAAGGCGACATAAATCACGTCAATGCAACGCCCAGAATTTACATAAATAATTGCAGGCGAGCGTGGGCAGTCGAGGGATAGAATCTCTCCTCTGCAGAACAGTACGCGTCTCGCCTAAACATCATTAAAAATAAAACCAATTAAAGGTTTCGAGTGCCTGTCGCCTGACAGCAACAATAGCAAAAACTACAACCCCAGTGCGTTCCAAAAATAGTTTCAACTTTGCGAAAAATATGTGAAAAATGAGACTGGCAAGACAATGCGAGCGACAGAGAGGGGGCGAAGTGTCATTGCCATTGCAGTCACACATAGTCATAATGCCGTAGTTCGTGTTGTTGTTGTTGCGGTTGCCACTGGAGCGAAAGAGAGGGGTGCGGAGGGTGCAAGGGATTCGAGGGTTTCGAGGGGCTCGGGTTCAGATTTCGGGTTCAACTCCGGGGGTTGATGCTGCTGCATCTGCCTGACAATTGTTGCCACTTAAATGTGATTTTTTTTTCTCTGCGATAATCCCAAGTCCAGAGCTCCGAGAAACAGGAGCAAAAAATACAAAAAAAACTAGAAAGAGTGCCACGACCACAGAATACTCGACAAACGTTTTTCAAAAGGTATAGCGTACATTTAAACCACAAATTTGTGTAAGGAATAAATTCATTTTTAATTGGATTTTTATTTTTAAAGAATGACATATCCCGATACGAGATATGCATCTCAATAGCAATACTAATACTTTAATTTCTTACGTTAATTGGTACTATTTAAGCATTCTTTTTGCTTAAGCTATGACTTCCATTTCCGGTTTAAAAAATTCTGCTATATCCCCAATACCCTACACATACCGTACATAGAAGATAGCTCCCATAACCCTTACACATTTCCGCAGAAAATGCAATTTTGTTTGCGCTTTTCGCCTTGACAGTGACTTGCAGCGAAAATGGCAAACCCCAATGACGGAGCTAAAAACTCGGATTCGAAATTAAATTTGCCACGCGTCGAGTTCACATTTATGTTTGCTCAAGAGTTTATGTTTATCTATCGATGAACTCTGACCCCCCGGAGCGTGTCTTAAACGTTCTTAAAAGCGCAACTAATAAGCTGCGAAAATAGCAAGTCATGTGGAAATATGGGAAATATTGCAGGCACTCGATTGAAGGGTAAATGCACCCCGAATTCTGGGAAACACCTCAGACAACATTTATCAAAGTTTAATTGCAACGACAGCTGGCAACCCTGAAAGCGTTTAAGAGAGCCCTTTCTCTTTTGGGGTTTTCCGCACTTTTCCGCTCTCTGCGCAGTGCATTTTCCAATGGGCCAAGAATGGTGGGCCGAATTCTCTTTGGCTTTGATTGAACAACAACAGAAGTTTCATTCAAAAACCAACAGCCTCAAAGTGCTTGTAGTTAAATAATTTTTATTGTTGTTCTACGGCTTTTGGGGAAAAGTAAATTTTGCAAAATAATTTCCCAAGGAGAGGCCAACCACCGAAGGAGAGAGTGAGAGAGAACGCTTCAAGGCAACGAACACAAATCAGGGAAAATATAATTTATTATTTCTTGCCTTATCCTTGAGCCGCAGCCAAGGCGCATCGTTTTTTCTCCTTTTCTATGATGTGTTTGTCTTTGGCCCGGGTCCGTAGTCCGTGTTCTAGAGTCCGGGGAAAACCCCTCCCCTCCCCTTCATCCTCCCCCCCCTAGCCATTCATTCCCATTTCGCAAAGGACCCCACCTTATTCCCTTTTACCTTGTCCTGGGCAAAATTCTATGCTTAACGCCATTTTTGTGTGCGAGACACGATGACGACAAATTTTCAACGTGCAACCTGACACTGAGCTGAGATTTTCCAAATTCCTTGTCTTCACTTGTGCACCACCACCATCGCCATTTCCACCATCGCTGCCAACCCACCGCCCACCGCCCTCTTATCCTTCCTTCCCTTCGCTGCATGCATGCAAAACTGCCAGAGACTCCGTCTCCGGTCTTCCACCAAGCTCCTTCCTTTGCCACATTACCTCCTTGCCTCCTTGTCCCATGGCTTTCGCTCGCTCCGTCTCCAACTGTGACTCCGACATTTGAAAGGATTAGACCAGCTCGTGTGTCGTTGGGCGATGGCAAGTGGGGTAATGGTAGGTGGTTGTGGGTGGCTGGGAATACTAATACTACGAACGTAAAAAGTATTTGCACAACTCTCAAGTGGGTCAAATGATTAGGCGGCATGATGAAGTGCCTTGCCACTTGAGCCGCCTCTCTCGGGGGCCCCGCCCACTTTGCCATTGCGCCCATCCAAAAATAAACAGTTTAATGTTTTGAATGAGCAATTGAATTTGATTATGCCGGGGTGTGGGTGCACGGATGTCTCGTATTCCCTCGAAAGTGAAGACATGCCGCCACCCCAAAGGACCTCCCACCTTCGCAAATAACTTCGAATGCATTACGTAATGGGGTCTAGTCAGGGGAAAAGGGGGAGGGAGTGGGGGACTCGTGGGGGACTCGTGGGGGACTAAAGATTTGCCCACATAGATGGGAAATAGTAAGCGGCTTATGTGAAATAAGACAACACCTTACGTTGGCTTATGCTGCGAACTGAGATTGCCTCGAAACTCGACTAGTAGTGTAATTATGCTGGAGTATGTTATTGCCGGGGATTACATTCTGAACGCTTCATTATGCAGTGTAAGTCAATTTGACCACCTTGGGCGTTCATTAACGTGAAATCTCTAATATTGTAGGCGGATGAGGCACCCATATCGAGGTTAGCCAAAAACTTCTGCTCTTGGGATGATAACTTGGCCTATTTCAAATGTCCTACATAATTTATGGTAAGGAATTGTGACCTTAATCCTTGGTTAATAGCTTATAAAATAAGAAAATAAAAAAACGTGTTTAATCCCTTTCTACCAAACTTTATTTCGTTATTTTTTAAAAGACCAACACTCTTTTAAACTGCCATTTAATGTCCACCAATTAAATTTGCAGGCAATGAATTTGATTGCCTTAATCATAATCCCAAATCATTGCTGGTGAACCTGTGCAGGATAATATCCTTTGAAAAACACCCAGCGCAGTCCCAGCGTATTTCCACATTCATTACATGACGTGAACGACGGCGACTGAAACAAAACAGGAAATTGCTACTTAAATTCAAAGCCAATCTCTGTGTTGGCAAATGTTCCCAAAATAAGCCAAACAGAAAATAAAAGATAAAAGCCGAAGACAATGGCGGGCAAAATATGGCAGGGCCGCAAAATGGAAATGGAGTTGGGGGGGAAAGGCCCAAAGCTGGGAAAACCGCCCGAGTAGCGACGACATTTAACGTTTTAAATCTGATTATTCCACAACAACTGTCAATAATGCAAAGGACGAACAAGAGGAGCGGGCTGGGAAATGGGAATTGGGAAAACCCCGGCGAAAAGGACCTCACTTTCACCCACACTAAGCCAGGCCAAATGAGCCAGGCGATTTTCCCAGCCTTTTCTCTCCTGCAAAACCGCAAAACGAGGCGAGAAAATTGTCACCCGAAAAAGCGACGGCCATCGAATTGTGTAAATCAAAAAAATAATTGCGTCTGATAACAACATCAATAACAATAAGCGACGGTACCCCAGGCAAAAAAAAAAAAAAAAAAAAAAAAATAAAAAGGTGAAGCCACCACGAATTGCACACAATAACCATAAAGGATAAGGGATAAACGTTGAAAGGGGTTGAGCCTGAAGGGGGAGGCGGCGGAGGGGCGTGGCTGGGCCTTGTCAAAATACTAGACGGCAGAAGTCGGGGTTTTCCGCACTTCTTCTCGGTTCTCGGATTTTGGTTCTCCGTTCTTTTGGGTGGAA